AAAATCTGATTGTAATAAAAAAATGAGAGATAAAATTGAGTCAGGCCCAGTGGCACATTCAGTGTGAAGTATCAAGCGCAGGGCCTTGCATGTACCAGGAAAGTGTTCCATCACTGAGCTACATCCTCAGAACAAATGATACTAGAAAAAATTATACGAAGGAACAAGATTACCAATATAAGCATTAATTTGTTTAAAAAAAGATGGCTAAGCAAACATGACAAAAATAATTGATTAAAGAAACTTTAAAAAAAAGAAAAGAAGCTGGTGATACAGCTCAGGGACACAGTGCCTGCCTGGCAAGTGCAAGGTCCTGAGTTCAATTCCTGGTACCAAAAAAAAAAATGGAAAAGGAAAAGAAAACCTCATACCTAAGGGCAATTCTAGGTTCCTCACATTCCAACAGATGGGTTACAGTTCCTTTGTCCTGCTAAACAAGACTTCCCCAGTCTCCCAGCCTTATACCTGCAATGCATTCACAACTCGAATTGGATGCTCCTCTCCCAGAGCCTGAATGCAGTGTTGAAATAAGCAATTAATATTGTCCTTGATCTTCATTAACTCCTCACCATCAAGAGATTCCAGCTTGCCTTCCAGGTACTCTAAATTCACCTGCCAATGAGACAGTAAGGGCCTGAGTGCATTTTCCATGTAGCCCTCGGGACATGGGCTATGGCTGGCAATTTTCATTACCAGGAATCCCACAGGCACCACCACATCTCACCTTCATGAGGAACAGCTCTTCCCAGAACCGAGGACTGCATTTACTGGGGTCTTCTGTCTGAAATCAGAAAATCACCATGTTCAACACTAAGAATACTACACATCGTCAACTTCATATTTCAAAATTCACTTTGAAAATGTTTGGTCATCTTAAACCACTGTAATGGGAAAGAGAATAATTTCGGGGGAGGGGCTGTTCTTTAATAGAAAACATTGTGCACAAATACGTATTTCCTGCATCAAAAGTTAAAAAATGAGCCAGATGTGGTGCACACCTGAAATCTCCGTGCCTGGGAGGCTGAGGCAGAAAGACTGCCACAAGTTTGAGGTCAGCCTGGGCTATGTGATTTGTTCAAGGCCAGCCTGGACCACATAGCAAGGCCCCATCTTAAAAAAGGATATTTAGAAAAGAAACTTCCTCAGACTTCCTCCTTCCTTTTTTTTTTTCCTCCTTCCTTTCAGTTGTTTCACCCAGCTCATGACTTCAACCTTAAGAACATCCCTCACAGTCCATATTAATGCACGGTCACAATCCTATCATGCGAGTTCACCCCTGTCCTTGAGCTTGCTTCCTCTTCCGTCCCTCTCTTTCTCCTCCCCACTCCCCCTGGGGAAGCTAGAAGGTAGCAAGCACATCCTCCTGCTTTGGGCTAAGCAACCATGCAGAATGACCCAGCTCCAGGCCTTACCATGAAGATCTCATCATACATCAGCACCACTTTTTCCTTCAGTGGTTTTTTGGAGGCTGAAGATTTCCGGAGCAAACCTCCCCGTTTTTCTATCTGGGCCATGGTTAGACAATCTGTGAAAAAAAAAGTCACATTTTAGGGCAGTGAAAAGCACCTATAGAGTATCTATAGATACGGTGGAGACAGGTCATTATCCGTTTGTCCAATCCACGAATATACAACACCAAGGAACATAAGGAAACGCAGGTTCACCCATCACAACAAACTCCACCAGAGCAGGGAATGTTGCTGTTGGAGGCTGTGGGTGTGTAGAGGCAAGGAACATACAGAATCTCACTGCAACTTCCCCTCAATTTTGCTGAGAACCTAAAACAGCTCTTAAAATTAGAAGTCTTTTAAAAAAGAGAAGAAAGCCAGCCAATGGCAGCACCCTCTCTAGGGTGCTGAAGGGTCTATCGAAATACTTCTCACTGGAGGAAAAATGAGGAACAGCCATGCTATGGATCTTGTGCATCTGTCTAACACCCCTCCTCAGGCAGGTAATGGCAAGGATAAATCAGGACTCGGCCTACAGCACAGCACATTTTACATCCCTAAAGTGTGCCCGCGGACAAGGCTCAAAGCGGACCCAGCGCAAACAGAAAAGTGTAACTAGCTCCATCCATAACAGGGCTGGCCATATATCTGAGGTTGATAGAAGGAGGGCTGCGAAGCACACGCTGCCCACGGACTGACGGCGGAGTTAAATTTCAAGTATCGATCCAGCTTAAGCCCATTAAGGCAGGAAGCGTGCTGCAGACTGATGTGCTTATCGATTTTCCCCAAAGTAAATAGGTCCTCGTCACTGCAAAGTACTTGGCCTTCACTGCCTCATAAATCACACTGCACTTGACTGTCTTTAAAAATTCCTCTAGAAAGAGACCCAAGGCAGAAAATAGCAGTTAAGAAGCCAAAACTTAAATCTGATTTCAAAATAACTGAATACCACACGACTTTCAAGTCTAACCCTGCACACTTGCAACCCTACTTCAGAGCAAGCCTCAGCACACCCTTCAAGTCTGTAAGAAAGCAGGTCCGAGTCATGCTCAGACCGCCCGGCCCCGCCTCAAGGAGCTCTCCCCACCATCCCCGGCGGGAGACCCTGACCCCGTGGGAGACCCTGACCCCGCAGGTCTCACTGCTGGTCTACGCATCGTCCCTCACCCCCGGGAGCCCCTCGCTTATTAAGCCAGCGCTCCCTCCTTCTTTAGTCCTAAACTCTAGGTGAAATGTCAGTCCACCCAGTGAAAACCACGGAACTAAGGAGGACCCAGATTCCACCTCCACAAATCTGAAGCAGCAGAACTAATTTTGTGCATGACTTTGGAAAATATTATCTTCCAAGTCAAAATCAAATTTTTGTTTAGGGAAGAGGTACATCCAAAGTATAAAAGTTTCTATCTTAGATGTCATCTAATACAGCCAAAAAAAGGAGATTTACCTTTGAGTATACAACAAAGCATAAAAAATTTTCCCTGACTGGATACTAAACATCTTTTTTTTTTTTTTTCTTTTATAAACATAGGTTCTCACTATATAATTCAGGCTGGTCTTGAACTGACTATGTAGCCCAGGCTGGCCTCAGACTTCTGAGGCTCTTTCTGCCACAGCATCCCAAGTGCTGGAATTACAAGCATGTGCCACTATGTCTAGCATACTGTTTCTAATGTAAGTATCTGGCTCATAATAAATGCTCAGCTGAGATTGTTCATTGGGTAATTCTGAAATAAACTGGGGAAAAATCCTCAGAAGAGCCAGTTGTGGTGCTTCACACCTGTAATCCCAGCCCTTAGGAGGCTGAGGCAGGAGGATTGCTGCAAATTCAAGGCCAGCCTGGGCTATACAGTAAGATTCTTTCATAGGTCCTAAGTCTAACCTAAAATTTTAATTTGTTTTGTTTTTTATTTTTTGTCTTTTTGAGACAGAGTTTCACTATGCAGTTCAGGGTGGCCTTCAACTCACTTTGTAGCTCAGGCTGGCCTCAAACTTGCAGCAACCCTCCTGCCTCAGCTTCCTGAGTGCTGGGATTAATTATAGGCATGTGCCACCATGCCCAGCCTGACCTAAAATTTTAGTAAGGCCTATCCCTACCGAGTTTTCACTAACCCTTCAAATTATCTTATGGCCTAGAGAAAACTAAAGAAAAAAATAACAGGGAAAAAAAAAAAAGAAAGATAACTCTTTTAGACAAGTTACATTATACAGTATAGATCACACCTTTGCCTTAGCCTCCATTCAAAACATTCCTGTGTCCTTAAAATAGGTTGTCAAGAGAAAGATGTCCTTATCTGGAGAAAATAAACGAAACCAAGACGACCCTATTAACATAAATCAAAAGCAGGGCAGTTCTCAGCTCAGTGATATAGATCCTGCTCTCTGCAGCCAGCTGATCAGCAGGCACATCGGGACTACGAGCCCCACAATGTGAAAAGCACATGTTTACAAACACTCTCCTCTGAGGATTTATAATTGGGTTACAGCTAATCAATGCCCACCCCAAATCTAATAAACTCTATTTCACAATCAATACTTTCTAATAAGCAAACGGGAATAAGAGAGGAGGGAAAACAATTCCAACCCAAACAACCAAATTTCCTAAGAAATTCAATTCTTTCCATCACTCTCTTTCCATTCTGAGCAGGGGAAATTCAGTCCGTCATGGGCCTCCACTCATTACTCTTCTGCACGGTCCCTAAGGCACTGCCCCGCAACTGGACCGGCCCAGACCGCAGCACCGGCTCCTCCCAGGGCTCGCTGTGCAAGCACCGCACCAAGCCCTGCCAGCTGGGTCCTGGGAGAAGTGCCACTGCCATATGCAAGTTTTTCTCCACCTCTCAGAATTTAAGCCTGAGCTCCCAAACTTGAAAATGAAGTATCTGACTGGTAGGGCAGGAAATTGCTGCACATGGGTAATGTGAGGGAATCTGTTTCCACTCTGCCAGGACCTGCTTCTTGATAGAATCCCTCCCCACACCAGCTGGGAAGGAGCCGCAGGGCGCCAGGAGCCAGAACAAAGACCTCCCGGCCAGCCAGGCAACCACAGAGCCAGTGTGCTCCTCAGTTTCCTCACAAGTAAAAGGGGGTTGGAGCCCGGCTGGTGGTCACACCTGTACCCAACTCTGGGAGGCTGAGGCAGAAAGATCACAATTTCAAGCCCAGACAATTCAGCAAGACCCAATCTCAAAATCAAAAAAGGCTTATCAGTGTGAAGGCCCTGGGTTCAATCCTCCGTGGAAGAGAAAGAATGGGCGCGAGTGCGGAGTGGGGCAGGGGGAGAGGGAGGAGGGAGGGAGGAGGAGAGGCTGAGAGGAAGAGAAGGGAGGAAGGGAGGGAGGAAGGAAGGAAGCAAGGAAGGGAGAGAGGGAGGGAGGGAGTAAGGTGGTGCACGTCTGTAATATCAGCATTCAGGAGGGTGAGGCAGGAGGACCACTAGTTCAAGGCCAGCCTAGGTTACACAGTAAATTCAAGGCCAGCCAGAACCACATAGCAGAAGCTTGTCTAAAAAAAAAAAACAAAAAGGAAGGAGCTTGGTGTTGCAGTACTCATATGTAATCCTAGCACTCAGGGGGCTGAAGCAGTAAGATCACCAGGTCAAGGTCAGCCTGGGCCACATAGCAAGACCCTGTTTCAAAACAACTAATCCCAAAGTGGTGGCACATTCATTTGGGAGGCTGAGGCAGGAGGACTTCTATAAATCCAAGGCTAGACTTAACTATATACTGAGACCCTGCTCAGAAACAAAAAAGGGTGGAGGTAGGTGAAGGTACAAAGAAAATGATCAGGAACCACAGAAGAGCACGAGAAGCATTCTATGGCTATGCTATTACCTGTTATTCCTGGGTTTTGAACCCTTTCTGCAAAGAAGCAAACAAAGCAGAAGCACAGCAACGCACAGAAACGTTGCCTGAGGCTCTAACAGAGTCTCAGAAATAAGACACAGAGTACAAAGGAAAATGAGGTGAACTCTTCAGTACTAATTTCACTGGCTGTCAAACTCAGGAACAGAGGGCTCGGGGGAAGTGCTTGCCCATTATCCAGGGGAAAAGAAGAATCAAGACACACCATGAACAGGCATAAATCCCCTATGGTGAATGTGACCACTACATATATCAAAAGTGTATCAGTAAATTCATTTTTAAAATCCCCTTAACTAAATGGTAAATCAGTGACGCTCCCCCCCATACTGGGGATCAACCCAAGGGACCTCTACATCCCCGACCCTTTTCCTGTTCTTTCTAAAGATCTCACTAAATTGCTAAATTACTCAGGCTGGGTTTGAACTTCCAATCCTCCTGCCACAGGATCCCAAATAGCTTGAAGGTGTAATTCTTTCCTTTCTTTACTGGTACGTTTTAGATATACATAAAGATCACACTCATCACAGGGAAGTTGTACCTGTATATGACATGTCTTGCTTTTTTCCCATTCCCCTCCCCTCCCTTCAACGCCTTCTTTCCCTCCTTATTTACAAAAGCTTTGTTTCCACTTTTTTCTTGTCCCTTCTTTCCTTTCCTCTTCTCCCTCCCTTGTTCCCCTTCTTTGAACATTTTCTTCCCATTTCCCAATAACTATTACACATTTTTGTCCTTATTTACACTTTCAGTCTCTCACACTAGAGAAATAATGTGGTATCTAAACATGTGTGTCTACAAGTGGGATTCATCCCAGGGATGCAGGGATGGTTCAATATAGGCAAATCGATAAATGTAATGCACCGTATCAACAGAGCTAAGGACAAAAACCACTTGATCATCTCAATAGATGTAGAAAAAAGCTTTTGACACAGTCCAACACCTATCCATGATAAAAAAAAAAAAAAAAACACCCTACAGAAAATTGGAATAGATGGTCTTTACCTCAATCTGATCAAAGCCATCTGTGACAACCAATAGGCAACATCATATTAAATGGACAAAACCTGAAAGCTTTCACTTTAAAATCAGGAACAAGACAGGGATGTCCATGGTCACCACTCCTATTCAACACAGTTCTGAAAACATTAGCCAGAGCAATTAGACGAGAGAGAGAGATATAAAAGGAATAAAAATAGGAAAGGAAGAAGTGAAATTATCAT